TGTATCCTTTGTAGGAACATGGATGAATCCAGAAACCATTATTCTCAGCAAACTGACACAAAAACAAAAAATCAAACACCACATGTTCTCAATCATAGGCGAGTGTTGAACAATGAGAACACATGGACACAGGGAGGGGAGCATCACATGCTAGGGTCTGTTGAGGGGGACTAGGAGAGGGACAGTAGGGAGTGGGGAGGTTGGGGAGGGAGAAATGCCAGATATAGGTGACGGGGGGATGGAGGCAGCAAACCACATTGCCATGTATGTACCTATGCAACAATCCTGTATGATCTGCACATGTACCCCAGAACCTAAAGTACAATTAAAAAATATATATATAGGCTGGGCATGGTGGCTCACGCCTGTAATCCCAGAACTTTGGGAGGCCGAGGTGGGAAGATCACGAGATCAAGAGATCGAGACCATTCTGGCCAACATAGTGAAACTCCGTCTCTACTAAAATATAAAAATTAGCTGGGTGTGGTGGCTCGCATCTGTGGTCCCAGCTACTTGGGAGGCTGAGGCAGAAGAATTGCTGGAACCCAGGAGGCGGAGGTTGCAGTGAGCCGAGATCGCGCTACTGCACTCCACCTGGCGCCTGGCGACAGAGCAAAACTCTGTCTCAAAAAAAAAAAAAAAAATTTATATATATATAAAGAAATCTTCCAAGTTTATAAGTGAATAAATGTCAGCACTTGCATTCAAAGTCAGGTGGGTCACACTTTCAGTCATGGCTTTTGCCTACAGGACTGTGCTGCCTTCAAATCACTTACATTTTATAATGGTGATTGTATATGAAAACATGATATTAATTTTTTATTTCTCCAATATTTATTTGGTAAGTAAAATGTGATGAGCACACACACAAAAAGAAATTCTTCCCTAGCTCAGCATCAGAGATCTATTCTACTATATCTTCTCCTCAAACCTTGAAGTCTTGTTTTTCACATGTAAGTCCTTAGTCTATATAGATTCATTTTTTTGGTGCGTGGTGTGGATACCCAGATGTGCCAGCATCATTTGTCTCGCGTCTCCAATGTGATTCCAGCACATATCAGAGTATACATTTCTTTGTTGAACTTCTGTTTGTACTTAGTTTTCTAGTTTATTATTTTCTGCGCTTATCTTTTATTGTCTGTTTTCTTCTACCTTCTTTGAGTTTATGTTATTTTCCTAAAATTTTTAGGTGGCATTTAGAGTGTTAACTTTAGCCCTCCTTTCTAATATAAGCGTTTAAGTGATTATATGTTCCCTAAGTACCATTTCTCTTATGTCTTAACTTTTGATATGTTGTGATTTCCTTATCATTCAGTTCTATTTTTACATTTCCATTGTGATTCTTGTTTGACTCTTGAGCTACTTGCAAATGTGTTCTTAAACTTCCAAACATATGACTAGTTTTATTTACCTTTTTAAATACAGACTTCTAACCCAGTTGGTTGAGAATGTGATCTGTGGAATAGAAATCTTCAAAATCTCTGAGATGTGCTTTGTGGCCAATATGTGATAAGAATTGTTGTACCTGTACCATGTTTGCCTGAGGAAAATGGGTACTGTCTGTATCTGCCAGTTATCCTCAAGCTTGTTGACTGTGCTATTCAAATTTTCGGAATTATTCCTGAATTTTTGTCTACCCGACCCATCAATCATTCAGAAAAGTGCCTCCTATTATGTGAATTTGCCATTTCTCCCAATAGTTATAGCAATTTTTGCTTTATGTGTTTTGAGGCTATTTTTGCCCAAATACATAAGTTTAGAATTGTTAACTATTCCTGGTAAATTGAACTGCTGTTGATTCTCATTATTCGCTATAGCTATGTTTTATAAAGTCCTGACAAACACTGAACTAATTAATTAACCTTTGTTCCTTGGGAAAATAACAAGATTAGGTTCCTGACAGCCTTTGGTCACAACATTTTAATGAAATGGAGTACAGTGATACGATCTCAGCCCACTGCAACCTCAGCCTCCTGGGCTCAAGCCACCCTCCTGGATAATTTTTTTTTTTTTTTTTTTTTTTT